TTCCGTAAGTGTTGATAGTTGATCCAAGAAGAATAAAGTCATTGACAACTTATATCTTTTCTCCGTTGCTAAGAATGTTGTTTATTGGTTCAGCGGTGAGGATTTTTGTTTTCTTGACATTGAGATGTAATCCATACCGAAGGCTGTGCTCTTTGATCATCATTAGTACATGTTTTAAGTCCTCTTCACTTTTAGCAAGCAAGGTCGTATCATCTGCATATCACAGGTTGTTAATGAGTCTTCTTCCAATCCTGATGCCATGTTTTTCTTCATAAACCCAGCATCTCATATTATTTGCTCAGTATACAGGGTGAATAAGTATGGTGAAAGAACACAACCTTGCTGCACACCTAATTTTAAACCAGTCAGTGTTCCCATGCTCTGTTCGAACAACTGCTTCTTGGTCCAGGTACAGATTCCTCATGAGTACAATGAAGTGTTCTGGAATACTCATACTTCTCAATGTAGTCCATAGCTTTTCATGATCCACACAATCGAAAGCCTTTGTGTAGTCAATAAAGCATAGGTAAACATCTTTCTGATAATTCTCTGCTTTCAGCCAAGTTCCATCGGACATCAGCAATGATATCTCTTGTTCCACGGCCTCTTCTGAATCCAGTTTGAACCTCTGGAAGTTCTCTATCAATGTATGATTGTAGCCGTTTCTGTATTACCTTTAGCAATTTACTCGCTTGAGATATCAAAGAGATTGTCCGATGATTTCCACATTCCATTGGGTCACCTCTCCTTTGGAATGGGCACAAATATGGATCTCTTCCAATCAGTCGGCCAGATAGTTGTTTTCCAAATTTCTTGGCAGAGATGAGTGAGTGCCTCCCGTACCGCCTCACTTTCTTGAAAGATTTCAAAATTTATTTCATCAATTCCTGGTGCCTTGTTCTTTGCCTTCAATGCACCTTGGACTTCCTCCCTGAGTATCATTGGCTCTTGATCATATGGCACCTCTTGAAATGGTTGAACATTAACCATTTCCTTTTGGTACAATGACTCTGTATTCCTTCCATCCTCTCTTGATGCATTCTGCATCATTCAATAATTTGCCCACAGAATCTTTCAATAACTTAAGTCGAGGCTTGAATTTTTTTCTTCAGTTCCCCCAGCTTGAGAAATGCTGAGTGTGTTTTTACTTTTTGGTTTTCTGATTCCAAATTTTTGCATATTTTATTATAATATTTGGCTTTATCTTTTCGAGCTGATCTTTGAAATTTTTTGTTCAGCTCTTGGACCTCCCTCATTTCTTCCAAATATTTGCTTTAGCATCTCTACGCTGGAGAGCAAGTTTCAGAGTCTCTTCTGACATCCATTTTGACCTTTTCCTTTTTCTTGTCCTGACTTTTTGCTCTCTTCACCTATGATGTTCTTGAGGTCATACCACAATTCTTCTGGTCTTTGGTCTTTAGTGTTTAATGTATCAAATTTGTTCTTCAGATGATCTCTAAATTCACGTGGGATAAATTCAAGGTCATATTTTGGCTCTTGTGGACTTGTTTTCATTTTCTTCAGTTTCAGTTTGAATTTGCATGAGTAATTGATGGTCTGTTCCACAGTCTGCCACTGGCCTTGTTTTCACTGATGTATGGAGCTTTTCCATCTTCTCTTTCCACAGATGTAGTCAATTTGATTTCTGTGTGTTCCATCTGGCAAGGCCCATGTGTATAGTTGTCTGTTATACTGTCTAAAAAAGGTATTTGAAATAAACAAATCATTGGTTTTGCAGAATTCTATCATGTGTTCTCCAGCATCATTTCTATCACCCAGACCATATTTTCCAACTACTGGTCCTTCCTCTTTGCTCCCAACCTTTGCATTCCAATCACCAGTAATGAGCAGTATATCTTGATTGCATGTTTGATCGATTTCAGATTGAAGATGTTGGTAAAATTCTTCTATTTCATCCTCACTGGCTTTAGTGGTTGGTGCATAAATTTGAATAATAGTGGTAATAATTGGGCTTCCCTGTAGGCGCATGGATATTATCCTATCACTTACAGCATTGTACCTCATGACTGATCTGGACATGTTCTTTTTGATGATGAATGCAACACCATTCCTTTTCAATTTTTCATTCCCTGCATAGTAAACCATGTGGTTGTCAGATTCAAAATGGCCAATACCAGTCCATTTCAACTTACTAATGCCTAAGATATCCATGTTTATGCATTCCATTTCATTTTTGACAACTTCCAATTTTCCCAGATTCATACTTCGTACATTCCATGTTCCGATTTTCAATGGATGTTTACAGTAGTTTCTCTTCATTTTGAGTTGTGCCCCACCAGCAAATGAAGGTTCTGTGGGCTTTTCTCCCACCAGCTTAACTCCATTCACATCATCATGGTCAACTCTACTTTGAGGAGGCATCTCTTCCCCAGTTGCATTTTGAGTGCCTTCCAACCTGAAGGGCTCAATTTCCAGCCTTGTATCTGACAGTGTATCTGTGCTATTCATAAGGTTTTCAGTGACTAACGATTCGGAAGTAGTTCATCACTTTTTCTTCCTAGTCTATCTTTGTCTGGAAGCTCATCTGAAACCTATCCACCATGGGTGACCCTGATGGTTATTTAAAATACTGGTGGCATAGCCCTCAGAATCACAGCAAGTCAAGCCACCACAGCATGACAGACCCTGTTTGGTTTTATGTCAAAACTGTCACTTTAAATTTCGTTATCAATCCTGATACAATGAAGATGTTCTCTACCAAGATGGCAGCTCCAGGAATAGCTGAGCATCTTGAATTAGAAAACAATGGATTTCTTGATTCTCCTACAAATTTCCCTAGCTGTAAGCCCTCCAATCTGCCAAATATTCCTTTATATGTGTTTCAGAGTTCCAGCACCATCCCCTGAGCCTGCTTGGTCTGGTATTCTGTGTTGTTATTGATGGAGCTCCTCACTGCACGTCTACCTGATCTGCCATCTTGATTGTATCTAGTGTATGCTCCCCAGGAAACATTTAATTCTTTAAATACATATATTTCTTCATGGTCCCCTTTTCCATATTTTAGTAAACCAATGTTATACTTAACAAGTACAAAAATGTTATATAATCAGTTTTAAAGTTTTAGATGTTCATATTTATTGATATCTATTATGAGCCAAGTATTATAAATAAGTAGTTTGTTTTTAATATTCTTTTAAAATTGTTCAGAGTTCAAGATACTTTTAACAGACATATGTAGTAATTTAAAAACATTTAACCTTAGATGTTCTCAATAATTCAGCAATTATCTGAAACACTTTGCATTTATAAATATTTCATGAGATGATATGATTTCCAATTCCACAACAGAGTAAACATTTAAAATATTTCATATTAATGTGTGTCACTAATTAAAATAATCATCACAATGTCCCAGTGATGTGGGTTCTATGACCATTTTCTGTAGGTGGAAACTAAGGCACAGAGAGGTTGAGAGCTTTCCCCAGGACCATACTCACAGCTAGAAAGTGGGAGAGCTGAGACACAAACAAAGGAAGGAACATAACCTCTCCACTAACCAAGGAGGAAGCCTCGGTCTAAGACCAAAACACGACCCTGATGACAAAATCTTTATATAGCAGTTTTCTACCCTTTCAAACCAACAGAAATATTTTTAAAGCATCAAATTCTTCAAAGCACTTACTATGTGCCAGGCACAGTTCTAAACAAGCTACAAATTGTGACTGTACTTAATTCTTATTTCAACATTATGAAGACATTACCACTACCCTTTCTCCTGGATAAATAAAAAAAAAACAAAACAGCAACACTGAGAAGTATTCAGTAATACCTCCCAGGTCACAAGCCAACAGGTGTCAATCTAGGATTCAAACCTAGGGAGCCTAGCTCCGGAGCCAATGCTCTTAACCACTTGTGAAGTTGTTAAATGCCGTAGAATTGGTTCCGACTCATAGCGATCCTGTATAGGGTTTCCAAGGAGCGGCTGGTGAGTTTGAACCACTGACCTGGAAGTTCAAATTGACCTTTCGGTCTAATGCTTACCCTACAGTGTCACACCAAGACTCTTAACCACTACACAATTCTATATTAAACACCCAAGAATAGGCTGAAGATAGCAGATATAATTTTTAAATTGATCACAAATTACTGCTTTAATAAAATCCTGTAAGATATGGGAATCAAGGCATCACTTATGAAATAGGCCATTATAAGCAAATCGACATTAGGCTTCATTCTCGAATCCTATGTAGTAGTCGTTCAAACATAAAAAATGCCTTTGAAAAGCAAGATCTTCAAGGACAATCATTAATATCAGAACCAGTTTGTCGTTTTCTAATAATTAAGAAATAATGTGAATTATAAATGCAATCTATACTATGACTAGTAATCATTATGATTTCAGTGCTTAATAAAACCACTGTAATTAAACCCAATGAAATGGATTGACAATGTGGCAGCATCAGTGGGCTCAAACATGACAATTGTGAGGACGACATAGGATTGGGAAGTATTTTACTCTGTTGTGCACAGGGTCACTATGGGTCAGAACCAACTCAATGGCCCCTAACAATAATAGTCCTTTCAAAGCAAAGACGTAAGAGTTTTTCCAATACGACTTAAAACGTGTGTTTTAAGAAGAAAAGTGATTTTCTTTTCATTTTTGTAGTATTAGATTAAGATCCAGTTAATCCTAACTGGATTTCAATACACAAGAAAGTTCTAAATTGAGTTTTAAATATAAGATGCATATGAACCCAGCAATACCAGAGAAAATGGATGACTAAACAGAATGTCTTACCAACCGTTCTATAGACTATTATGTAGCTATGTGTGAGTCAGCGACATATTGGCTACAGCAGAACACAAATTACAATAAATTATATATTTATGAACGATAAAGTATATTGCCTGCTCAGAAGAATAAATCAACCAAAGGTAGTTTGTCTTTAATATCAAAGTGACCGCTGTACTCTAGCTAAGATTTTTGGTTGCTGAGTACTAATGATAAACACCCATCAATAGGAGAATAATATGGCTACCTCTCGTTTCATGTGACGTCCTCATTTCACTTTCAGTCCTCTCTTCGATGTCTTCTTTGACAGGGACATCATCACCATGCTGGTATCTGAAAAAATATTTGCAAGAGTACCATTTTAAAGAATGGTTTGACATTGCAAATCAAAACCTGTGCAAATATAAAATATAAAAAAGGATATGTGATTCTACTAAGAAGGCAATTAATGCGAAAAAAACATCTGTAAGTGTCCATTTTCTTCAATCTCTTTTCATTTACTATTTCATGAAATTTTAAAACCTAGAATGATATTAAGATGAACTATTTTGGAAAAAGGATTCCTGGTATAGGATCAGCACTAGATTGCAAACCACAAACTGGGCAGTTCAAACCCACAGCTGCTCCTCGGAAGCCCTATATGGGGTTGCTACAAGTTGGAACCAATTAGACAGAACTTAACAACAACATTCTGGAAAAAATGACCTACTGAATAATTCAACTACACATTGGAACAAGTAAGTACTAGCAAGTCTACTTGTATTGCTTGATACACTTCAATTTGAAGGAAACAAAAAAACAAAAAACAGTTTTGAAAGTGAACACCATTTACTTAAGTCACCATGTATGAAGGGGCTTCAACAAATCCCTGCCAACATTCCATTACCTTTTTTGAGTCCATCTGTTCCAGAATATTTTGAAGCACTCTCATACTACTCAGAACCAGGATTTGGTTTTGAAGCTGAGACGGGCCCAGGTGAATCAATTCCACTTCTAGCTTAATCAGGTGAAATCCAGGGGCTGATGTGATTCTACCTCTCTCTGATCAGGGATGACCTCAGGCTAAACTAAACATGCCAGGGATGCTTTAATTGGTATGGACCCATTCTGGTCTTATATGCTAGAGATGAAAAGAACTTTAAAGGAACTAAATAAAGGCTGTATACGTTTCTTTAGAGCTCTATTTCTAGGATTTAAACATTATCAGCCTACTCTATTCCATCCTCAGTTTTGTCTGGATATATAGGCTATGACATCTTGTCTACACACTTTGGTGCCCTGAAATGATATTGATGGTTTTCTATCATTTTATATGTGTTACTAACTTTATAGATATATCCCAAAATCCTTGATAATCCATAAAACACTTCTGTAAAGTTTTAGGAACTGGGAAAATACATTAAACATAAAACATCTCAACAAAATCTATAAGTGCTATAGTTTTAACTCAAAAACTATGAACTGCCTTTACTTACTGTCCATTTGAAGATATAATAATCTAACATAATGATGCTAACACAGTAAGCATGCAATAAGTAAATGTTCATTGATTCCTTAGGAAGATCATTTCTAAGGATAAATGTGCAATTTCACTTGAACCTGAGTTCCTTGGCTCATTTCATACTGAATATCACTGTCAGAAAAGATGAGGAACACTTGCTGGTTTGTGACAGGGGAAAAATCAGTGTTATTAAGAAATAAAAATAGTTTATTTCCAAGAGAATTAAATACCTAAGGGAGTCCTTACTTCATGGAAAGGGAGGGGGGAAATGGAGCTAGAGTAAAAACAAATATAAGGAGACAACGGATAACTGGATAAATAACATTTGCTAAGGCTGAAACCTACCATTCACGCCTAGGAAACCTATATAGGGCCGCTCAGAGTCAGAAATGACAGAACTTGACAACAATAAGGTTATGATAGAAAATTTCATGTTCTCTGTAAAACAGTGCTGAAATTATACTTGGAACATTACAAGACAGCATAACTTAATATGTTAAATAGCTTATATGATCTTACAAACTCGTTTTCTATTAAACAGGAAATGTTTTTAAGATCAAGAATTCTATTCCAGCTCTCTCTTTCAGGTCCTCACTTCCAAGATGACAAAGAAAAGAAGAAACTACGGTTGTGGCAAAAAGAGCCGCAGCCACGTGCAGCCTATTCGCTGCAGGAACTGTGCCAGCTGCGTGCCCAAAGACAAGACCATTAAGAAGTTCTTAATTCGAAACATAGTGGAGGCCGCAGCTGTTAGGGATATTTCTGAAGCGAGTGTTTTTGATGCATACGTGCTCCCCAAGTTGTATGTGAAACTCCATTATGGTGTCAGCTGTGCCATTCACAGCAAGGTGGTCAGGCACCATTCTCGTGAAACTTGGAAGGACCAAACACCCCCACCCCGGTTTAGACCTGCAATGCTGCCCCTCAACCACCACCAAACCCATGTAAAGAATTGAGCCCTTAAAGTCCGATGTAAAACTAACCTGCAAGTAAATCAAATGAAAATTACACTTCCTTGTGTCATGTCAAAAGAAAAAAAAAGTATTCTATCCCAATAATTATTATTGTTGTCAATGAAAGAAAATATGCTTGCAGATGGCTAAATTAGTGTCTATTAGAAATAATCATACATGAAAGTAATACAACTTAAAACTGGCATTGCCCAGAGTCAAACAAAATCAGAAATTCATTGTGGATTTCCTAGCAGTTCTGCTGACTGGTTAAAAGAAAAGATAAACAGAAAATAGGGGACTAAACACCCAGCCTTTTTTGTGTATTTCAGTTATTGTGTATGATCAGTTATTGATCTGAAAATCAATAACTAACTTACAATTTTATAGTTTTAATGTGTGGCATGGTAGGCTAAGCACCATACTGCTAACTACAAAGTTGTGGTTCAAATCCACAAGTTGCTCCTTGGAAACCCTATATAGGGTTGCTATTGAGTTGGAACTGACTCACAGTACTGGTGTGGCACTGTAGGATAAGCATTGAACTTCTAACCGAAAGGTGGGCAGTTCAAACCCAATGGCCTCTCCTTGGAAACACTATACAGAGTTGCTCTGACTCAGAACTGACTTCATAGCACTTAATAACATTTTAATAAAGTAAGCTCTGATGTAATAATGATGTAAAACTTAAACATTTCGAGAGAAGTCCCTTTGCATTCTTATGCCCAAATAAAACTGTCAATGGTCTATTTCCTGAGATGTAAGAAAAAGACCATTTTCTAGGAGGAAACAAAGATACACATGGAAAATAAAACCTTTGACCCAGGAAATTTCTTCATGCCTTACTCGGCCATAACACTCACCTCCAAATAGAAGCAAAATGCAAGTTATTCACTTTATCACAGACAGATGTTCAATTTTCTCTTTCCTATTTTAATTAATAATGTTTCATTAAATTGTACCCACATAAACTTGGGACTATATAAACATTTTTTAACTTTTACCAAACACAATTCAGGTCAAAGACTCAATGAGAAATAATTTATTGAATGTTTTATTCCTGATTTATGCATTTCTTCTGCTAATTCCTTAAAATGAAAAGCGTGTAACACCCCCAGTTGCAGTTTTACACGCTTTTCTCTATAGCTAGCGACTCTGTGTGTATGTATGTGTGGTGTGTGTTAATCTGTGCAGTCTATTAGAACTCACCACTGCTGCTGATTCGATTCTGACTCATAGAGACTCTTCAGGACAAAGTAGCACTGCTTGCTAGGGTTTCTGAGGATAAATCTTTATAGAAGCAGCTGGCCACAAATTGGACAACAGTAAGGTTGAAACCAGTTTTGTTAGACTCCAGAGAGTAGGCGTGTGCTCACTTGCATTCATGGTATGCAGTCCCTGTATCATCCACGTTCCACTGAACCAATCCAGCATGCCCCCGAGAAAGGAGAAAAGGAAGTCAAAGAGCCCAAGATAGGAGAGGCAGCTGTAGGGAAGGAAAGGGCCAACATGGGAGGCATTCATACAGAGGGTTGGTGAACTTTAATGACAGACTGGAAAGATGAGATGGAGGCAAGGAAAGTTATCACAGAGACAATAAAATTCCTGCTTGGTTCCTTTTCCTGGAGAGAAGACTTAGTGTGCACTGTTTCCACTCCTCCTCCTATTCCTTAACACATGAAAATCTAACTTACACAACTATTTTCTGGAAGGAAACTGTTCTCTACGGACTCATCCTTGACTTACTCCACTGCCACTGAATCCAATACGATTCACAGCAACCCTGTAGGACAGAGTAGAGCTAGCTCTCAAGGGTTCAGAAGCGTCCAGCTTTATGGAAGCAGACTCATCTTTCTCCCACAGACTGGCTGGCGGGTCTGAACGTCTCTCTTTTCGGTTAGCAGCTCAATGCTTAATCCACTGTGCCTTCTATTAGAATTGTTATTGTTATTAAGTGCCGTCTACTGGTTCTGACTCACAGCGAATATGTACAGCGTTTTCAAGAAGCGGTTGGCGAGTTTGAACCACTGATCCTGTGGTTAAACCGACCTTGTGCTTTATCCTATTAGAATAGGTATTATGAATCAAATGGGTGAGTAGAACCACTGAAGAAAACAGAATCCAACCAAGCACATACAGAAATGTGGAAACAGTCAATATCAGAAGTTGTTGTTGTTAAGTGCCATCGAATTGGTTCTGATTCTTAACGACCCTGTATCGGGCTTCCAAGGCTATGCAATCTGTGGCAGCAGAAAGCCTCATCTTTCTCCCATGGAGTGGCTTGTGGGCTCAAGCTGCTGACCTTGGAGTTGAAAGTCTAGTGCTTATCATACGGACACAACACTGTGGATCCTGGAGCAGTTGGTATTAAAAGTTATCAATTAGTCAAATGAAAATTCTAAGTTCACAGTATATTGTCTGATATAGTATTGGAATATGAAGTTCCTAGGATGGAACAAAACCCAATCCAACCCTGTTGCTGATGAGTCAATTCTGACTCCTAGGTTGTATACTATTTCTATAAGACCGACAAACAGAAAAATCAACAGTGCTTACTGTACAGAAACACTGTGTATACTGGAGCAGTTAATATTACAAGTTAGCATTCTTAAGAATATTCTAACAGTCATGAGTCAAAGACTGGCTGGGCTATTTACAAATCTATCTTTCAACTGTCCTTGGAAAAAGGATCTACTATTGTATCCACTGAAACTTAGAGTTTAAGTAACTTATCCAAGGTCATAAAACAAGTTACAGCACTTGTTAGGCTACCTGACACAAAAATCCACGATTAAATTCCATTATCCTTTGATTTTTACATGAATTCTTTTCCAGAACAAAGTATGGATCTTTGTTTTATGATCTTAAAGGGAACATGACTT